CTTCCAGGACAGATTTGTTTGGTCTTCTGGCGTCCATGCTATTCTTTGCCAAAACTATAATTCAAATGTATTAATTTGTCTCCAGTCTTCCTTGTCCACCACCTAATTTTCACATGCATATGGCGTGATTGAAAATATCATGACTTGGATCAGGTGACCTTAGTCCTCAACATGAAATCTTTGCACAGAAGTAGATGACAACATATGATTCTGAATCTGATCCTTTTGTTACAAAAGATGTTTTAGGACAATTGGTAAATCTTGAAATGTATTTTAAGATTGTTGTTGTTGTTGGCATGTGCCGTGGAGTAGGTTCTGACTCATAGCGACCCTGTACAGAGTTTCTGAGGCTGTAAATCTTTACGGGAGCAGAAAGCCTCATCTTTCTCCTGCGGAACAGCTGGTAGTTTCAAACTGCTGACCTTGTGGCTCGCAGCCCAATTCTTAACCACTACACTACCAGAGCTCCTTGGGTAAAGTAATATATTGATGGTGAATTCCTGGATGTGTTTAGGTTAAAAAACAGGAAAATGTCCTTGCTTGTAGGAACTAAACTATTAGATAAATAAGTTACTCTCAAATTCTTTGGAAGAAAAATACTATTTTGTGCAATATTTAAAGCACATTTATAAGTGTTAATTGTACCAAAATTTTAAAAAGTAATAAGCAGTTGTTGAGTGACAACCAGAAGTATTCAAAATCAGTTTTGAATAGCCCAGAGAGATCATTGTGGCCATTTTTGAACCAAGTAATACTATGCTACCTTAAATGATGACCACTCACAGATACATCATCATCCAAAGCTACAATTTCCCCCAATGGTGCTCTTATTTAGTATTTCCACAGTAATGTTTTGGAGGAAACCACTTAGAAAAAGAGCAACTTATAACACTAAGCATTTATTTCCATATCCACAGATGTTCCTATCAGCAGTGATTGGGCTGTTCTAGGCAAGGGTTAGCTAGGTGATTCTGTGGAAGTGGGTTGAAGATTTTTCATTGTATGGACTGTGTGCGATATGGTGCCAAATTGAAGGGCTGGTGACTACCCAGGTTGTAACATTCCAATGGCAAGTTGAAGAGTGAACAAATCCCCTAACCAAGCTACATCAGTCAATTTCACTCCATGCAACTCCAGCAGAGACACAGACATACACATTGTTTTATTTGTCTCTTTTTTTATTATGCTTTGATAATTTCTCAATTTTATAAAACACTTTTTGTTGTTGTTGTTGTTGTTGTTGTTGTTGTTGTTGTTGTTATGTGCCATCGAGTCGGTTCCGACCCATAGCGACCCTGTATTAATTGCTGTCAAATCTGTTCTAACTCATACAAACCTCATATAGGGTTTCTGTGTCTTTAAATCCTTTCTGGATCAGAAAGCCTCATCTTTATCCTACTGGGTGGTTAGGGGGCTTTAATCACCAACCTTGTTACTCTCAGTCCAGTGCTTATCAATGGAACTACCATGGTCTCTCATGAAATACTTTGCTCCACGATATTTTCAAAGTTTTGAACATAAAATTAATAAATAATTGCATTTAAAAAATCTGTACTATTTTAAAAATGGTTTCAAATTTAGTTTTTCATGAATTGGAAATTAAAACTGGGTAAAACTTTGCTGTGTGGCTTTAAATGACAAAGATTTCAAATGTCCTCATTGAGGGTGGGAAGTCTTTTTAGCTAAAGTACTTGGACCCAAAACTGAGTTTCCTAAAACTTACATGCATTCAGATGCCTTGGCATCACATCAAATGCCGATGTTCATTCAGTAGCTAGAGAGTGAATCCTGCCAGTTTGTGCTTCTAATCAGCTCCCAGGGATGCCCATGATGTTGCCGGATTATGGACACAACAGAGCACCATGATATTTATATATTTCCTGAAAAACAATGCTGCACTTGTTCTTATTTTTTATTGATAAATAATAATATTTTCTTAATAAATTTCCTCACTTTTTCACCTACTTTCTAAATAATATTTAATACAACATCCTAATTTTTCTACTCAATAAATAATGTAATCAAATACCTTGCTGTATCCACTGACTTGGTGAATATACTTGCAAGTACAGCTAAATGTATCCTGGGGTCTTCCAAGAGCTGCAACATTTTAAAGATAGAAGTAATATTGTCCACGCTAGGATCTTGTACCAAACCCATCATCACTACCGCATGTGAAAGCAAATTTTCTAAGAATCTGTTTTTATTCTCTATAGCTTCCTGTAGAATTCCCCAAAGAGGGACCTTATCTTGAAATTTAGCAGGCAGAAGAATAGTATTCAGAACTCTCCAGAAGCATCTTGGGGCAGAGGTGATGAAGATGACATTCTACAAAAAGGTCTGCATTTCCACCTCTTTTAGATAGACCCTAGCACCACAGGGTTCAGATAGCCAATACCTTCAGTGGAGATGAACTATGGCTCTGAGAATCACCTGTTTTCAGTGACTGGTCCCTGACAGAGTCACAGGCCTTTGAAAAGTTGTAATTTAGTTTGTAATTATCTGTAGTATAATATCCTACAAGGAATATCTACAGTAGCTTCTCTTTTGTAGTCTGAGCTATGACAGATGCTATTCCCAGCATTATTCTCTTTCTTTCATTAAATCCGTATAACCACAAGAGGAAGAACGAGAGTTAGGGTACAGAGGAGCCAGTCTGAACCCTTCTAACAAAGTCCTGTTTGATCTTCTGACAAAAGCTCTCAGCAAATAGTAAAACAAAGAGGAGCAGCTGGACAGCCCAGAATCACACAACTGCTCCTGGAAGTGGTTTTTGTTCCACTCTGTAGCACTGTGGGAGGGGTACCATAATCATGTTGACAGTAATAGGTTCCAACATCTTCAGCATTCAGGGTGCTGATGGTGAGAGTGAAGTCTGTCCCATATCCACTGCCACTGAACCTTGAAGGAACCCCTGAGTGTAAATTGGATGCATGATAGATCAGGAGTTTGGGAGGTTCCCCTGGTCTCTGCAGATACCAATCTAACTCATTGTTAATGTTCTGACTTGACCTGCAAGTCATGGTCACTTTCTCTCCTAGAGATACGGCCAGAGAGGCTGGAGATTGGGTCATCTGGATGTCACAACTTACATCTAAGATCGAAAACACAGAAACAAACATTAAGTATGTTATAAGAACAACAACATCCTTCAAGATCCAGGCAGCTCTGACTTCGCAGAGTTGAGCAAAAGTTCACATGTCTCAGATCTACATAGACTTATGCACATGACATCCAGAAAGGACCTAAGTGGTAGGTGCTCTGCTTCCTTACCTTTAAGCAAAAGAAGCAGAAGGCCAAGGAACAGAGTGAGAACCTTCCTGTCCATGCTGACTGGGACTAATTGCTGCAGAGGGTAAGAGCTCCAGCTGTAGATAAGGTGTCAGGGCTGAGGGCTGTGCTTAGTGAACATGCAAATCATCAGAAAACAGGGCAGGGCTTGAGTTTGGCTGCAGGGTGGACTTAATTCATTAACACAGCACAGGGGCAGTTCATCCCCTGTGTCCTAACTCACCAGGGCAGTAGAATTGGCCTACAAAGAACCAATTTTCTCAAGGAGATCACAAAAGACAATCTATCTCCTATCCAGTGAGTAGAGGGTTCAATTTATTTCCTTCAATGCTTACTGCATACTTTTCTTGTCTGTCAAATGTGACACAACCCAAGAGTGCCAGAAATTTAATCAGTTCCCTACATTTGATGCATTGGCACATTTTGAATTAGAGAAGAGCCCACCATGATCTGAGTCCCTGGTGTCTGTGAAGTGAGTAGTTAGAAGCACTGCCAGTCGGAGATGTGATGGGATATAGAAGTAACAGAAAAGTAGTGCTGGGGTCTAGATTGATAACAAAGAGACCAGACACAGATGATCTGTCATTGAAATCTTGCATCCCCAGCTAAGCAACTGGCCCCTGTTATTTCTGCACACTCTGTCTCACCTCTTTTCTAAAGCCATCTAAGGTCAGGAATTTTCTTAATCCACATCTGAAATATATTAACAACTTTATCGACCAGCTATTCATTACAATTGTCCAGAAGAGATATTCTCAGAACTACAATCCTCACATAACCTGAGCTATTCCCCTCAACAGCCTGACGTCCTTCCTGCGCCAAGTTCCTATTGACACCCTTGAATCCACGATGTTCCTTAAGTCTTCATACATGTATATCACCAAATACTTTCCAGTTTCTAAGAGAAAATGATTTTCAAGACCTGGGCACACTACTTTGGGATCTAGTAGATTGAGGAGTAAAACCACATTGTAAAGTGGTGGAGGGAGACTGGTGAACATGGAGTGGGATGAAGAGGGTTCCCTACAAGAAGGCTAATGTACTGTGAGCCCATTGTGGAGTGCTAAACCTATGATAGTATCAAGACAATATTTAAATGAGTTCAGGCCCCACAATAGGTGTTATATCATAGGCAGGGTGAGAAGAGCACCCATTTATGGGCAAAACATTGATGGTGACATTACAGTATCCAACCCTGTACATGGCATGTGTTTGTTTGTGTGATGGGGTCAGGGTACAGGCATGTTTACAACAAAGTGCTGTAATGGTAATGACAATACTGTATTGGTTACTTTTAGAAGGTCTGGTGAAACCAAATCCAAGTAATTATATCAAGGATAATTGGAGTCTAGATACTCACTGTTGGAGAAGGCTTACAGATATGTAAAGGGAGAATGCTAGAGTAAATTCTCAGAGTTTAGGTGGAATTAAATATAGTATAAATTCAAGTTCAAAATGGGACTTGTCTGGCCCGTAAAGGCAAGCTTCTCAATATTTACTGTTTCTGGGTATGTAACATGGGAAGCAGATAGCTTCTGGCTCTATTAACCACACTTCACAACGATAATTCCTCAAGGGTGTATGGAGTTCAGTCAGAACTATATGGTTAGCTGGGATGTATGTGAGAGAAAAAAACAAACACAAAAAAGGTGTCATTCTCAAGACTTACAATAAAACCAACTGGTGACATTGATTTCAGCACAGGATGGAGGACAGAGCATGTGGCAGTAACTTATTCTGTGATCCTGGTGTGGTGCTGTGGATTTGAACTGCAAGGTCAGTGCTTCAAGCTTACCAACTGCTCCTCAGAAACCCTATACAGGGTCACTATGGGTCGCAACTGACTTGACGGCACTTAACAACAACAACGTTCTGTGATCTGGACAAGATGTCATATAGAATAAGTGTGAGAAAGAGAGGGATGGAATCCCAAGGCCGCCCACCATTTCCCTGAGAGGAATCTGGGATCCATAGCAGCTCCATAGGCAGGAGAGGCAGCTGGGGTGACATTGTGTCCTCTGTGTTGGCAACAGGAGCTTACACCTGCTCCTGGATACAGACCCAGTGGTCCTGGCAAGAGTGAAGTCCATGCCAGCCACACACTCTGAGCCAGGCAGGCATCATTTCCAGGATGGCAGTCTGAGTGAGCAGGAGCCTGGAGGCATACCCTCATTCATGGTGGTCAAGGCCAGAGATCTTTACTACTCAGACTCATCCTGAAAATGAGAGAGACAAGCTCTGTCCTGTGTACACAGTGAGGCTTTCTTGATACTCACCCACACAATGTACTGCTTGTCATCGAGTGGTGAAGCAAATATGCCCTTCCCCAAACATTAATATGAAGAAGGGAGTTCATTCAGTTTGATGCAATTCTGATAAGAAAGAAGACTAGACCAATTTCATCTTTAAGGAAATATCTACTACTAATGCAGCACACTAGCTGACATGAAACTGGTGAATTCTCCTTCTTCACCAGAGACCAGAACAGCAGGAAGAGAAGATAAAAGCTATGGCCTCCATGTCTGCAAGCTGTCCTCCTGAGTCTGACCCCTACTCAGAAAACAGGGTTTAGCTGTGAGAGGAACACACAAAATAGAGGGGTTGGATTCCAGGACATGGATTCCAGCCACAGAGCAGATAGCAAGTTTTCTTCACTACTCAGCACACTGACAGCTCATCCCTTGGTATTCCCAGTCACACTACAGAAGCTTTTACTCTACCTGGGACTCCCCTATTTATAATGGGATTATTTCACTCTATTAGTAGTCCCTCTGGTAGCATAGTGGTTATGAATCAGGCTGCTAATCTCAAGGTCAGCAGTTCGAAACTATCAACTGTTTCACGAAAGAAAGAAGAGGTTTTCTTCTCCCATAAAGATTTACAGCCTCAGAAACCCTGTACAGGGTCGCTATGAGTCAGAACCGACTCCACGGCACACAACAACAACAACAACATTAGTAGTTCCTGGGTGGTTTCAAACAGTTAATGTGTTTGGTCCCTAACTGAAAGGTTAGAGGTTCAAATCCATCCAAAGATACCACAAAAGAAAGGTGTTCTGAACTCTTTCTGGAAAATGAGTCATTGAAACTGCTGTGGGGTACAATTGTACTCTGTTTGACACATATGTGGTTGCTATGAGTCAGAGTAAATTCAATAATAACAGGAGATTACCACTCTACTAATTTTTCCAGTACTTATTTACAAGTTAATGTCACTGCATCTTGTTTATTTGGGAGTTTATGTGCCACCTAATATGATTTACATGGCAGAATAGCCTAGAAAACTTCAGAGAGTGGCCCCAAGTGAGTCTCGACTTTGAGCTTTCTCATCAGTATTCCTGAAATTAGTACCATGATATACATCACTAGACTGCATTCCATAGAGATCACAAAATGACTCAAGTCACCCACAAACAAGTAGCCTTGCTGAGGACAAAAGAAAAATCAGTTATCAGAAATTCAGAAAAATCATTGATCCCAAGACAGTTAAAATTTTGTGATCAGGAATGCGGTTTAGGTTAAAAGGTGATCCAGATTGGGCCTTCAGGTATGGAAACCCACAAGGTGAGGAACAGAGTTTCCTGGTCTAGATTGGACCACTGTCTCCTGCCTGCCATCTGGGAAAACCATGTAAACTGACAGAAAGAATCAAGCAGCTGACCAGCAGGGGGAGCATATGCAAGGATTCATTCAGTCTTCTGGACTAAGATCTGGTGAGAGTCTTGCTCTAAGCTTTAACACTATTAGATTAGTGATGATTGTTAGAATTAAGTGCAATAATGAAATTATTTATATTTGTGCTGTCCAATTCATTATCTGTGAAGAAGATTGTCACATCTGTATTGGCAACAATCCGTAACATGTTTTTCATCAAATCATTTGGCTGTGTCACCTACATGAAAAAAACTGTACTCTCTGTTCAGAAGCTGGAGTTTAGATACGCATCTCTAGGCTGTTTTGTGTATCCAAGTCCATCCCTGCCACCACAAACAGTATCCATCCCGACCACATTACATTCCTCAGCTTGATGTTAACAGTCAGCTGTCTGGACTTGGCTAGTATTGCTGCTGATTCCTGCCTAAAATTATCTTCATACGGTCAATATGATCCACATGCGGGTATAGACATTTGATTATAAACTGATTGAATTTCTTGACTGCTGCTTCTATGAATGTTGATTGTGGATCCAAGTAAAATTAAAACTTAGACAACTTTAATCTTTTTTTCTGGTCCACTTGTGAGGACTTTTAATTTTTTAAAATATACATTTAATGGTTTCTCTGAAATATCCGGAAAAAAGAATGATTTAAAATAATTTTCATTCCTGTCTGAGCAGCCAGTGGAAGGAGGAGAGGCATTATTGTTTCTTGGGAATTGTTTTGGTGATCAATTTGGGACAAAGAATTAAGACTTATGAGATGAAGTTATTGAGTTGGGGAATACTTTATCAGATCTATGCCACAGCCTAGGATTCTCCCTAATCAAGTTTGCCTTCTGCCCCTTTTATTTTTCAGACATGTTACCCTTCAAATCCTTCTTAGACGCTCAGGTAGATTTCAGTATCTGACACAGTTGTCATGAGCAAAGATATGAGAAAGTAGGCAGAACAATCCGGTTGGAGAACTTTATCCCACAGTACCCATGGCCAATCAGGATCCCATTACGCATAGGCACAACATGGAGGTTCAGTGACTAAAGGGACATAGGATGTGACTTAAGAAAACATGCTGGTAGAGGGAGACAGGCTGGCTGGTGCAGAATTCAGGAATATTTGAAGGAATAGTAAGAATGCAGACCAGGACAGTTACACAACTGGAACTAAGTATGAAGGCCAGAGGACCTTTTAATTGCTTTTTTAAAAAGAGAACAGTTTCTTTATAGTGAGAGAGTGGGAAAAAAGGATGGACACAATCCGGAATTACCAGTTGAGTCCCTGAGCTTCAAAATGCCTGGTGAATGCTGTGAAATGTCAGAGTCCTGCTGGGGAAACCTGGTTCCTGAAATATATGATGGGGAAGATTGAAGAGATGTTTCCAAA